TGACTCGTGATTCGCGTATTTTATGATGTTTCTTGTTATACCGCGTTTGGGCTTGGCCTCTTTTATTTTACCAAATTAATATTACTTGGTATATATCATTGCCAAGCTTATTAAAATGTTCGGAGATAGATACGACAAAGAACAGGCAAATAGTGACCGATACAACGCAGGGGGACATGTGCGGTGTGTGGTGGGTGTAGCTTATCGTGTCATATCGCACTGGCATACGCTAGTGCCGTCATATAATCTGAAGTTACCGCCGTTTTTCGGATAAATTTCTAAACACTTGTGCCAAGATCAGGTGTTTTGGCCAGAATGTTGCAGCAGTAACAGCCAGTCAGACACCGGTTAGCCTAGCAACGCCGAGTCAACACAACGTTGCAGGGAAAAAATTGCTGATGGTATGTACTGTGTGTTGCTGTTTCACGGGGTCTTAGGTTCCTTATATTGTTAAGTAATGTTATTTTAACTGGTTTGAACTTGAGAGATATTTATCTGGCGAATAATCGAGCAAGGTTCGCTAAAGAATAAAAATGCACAGTGCCGTGACTGGAACAGTACATAAATATCCCACACATAAGAGAAAGAAACTTATGACGACGTTTCGGTACGACTTGTATGCGTCTAGTTAATGGTCCAAGCCGAACCGAAACGTCATGAGTTTTTCCTGTGTGCTGGTTATTTGGGAAATTTCCGGAACCTAAAAGTTCTTTTTGAATAATAAGTTAGTTCCGTATTCATTTATCACAAATACAAATTTATACTCTGTGTTATTATTATTATTATTATTATTATTATTATTATTATTATTATTATTATTATTATTATTATTCAAACGGTGTAGATCTCTCCCGTGCTTTAACTATTAGCACTAGTGAATATCAAAAGTTCTTATAGTGTAATCAGTCTTCTTCCAGTTACTTATATTAACGGTGAGACTACTGAAACTTTATCATTTACTGAGTGATAATCGCTACTTGTGAAGAACACAAGTCACATTACCCGGGCTGGGACAGTTCACAACTAACCCATATCCAAAAGATTAAATGATTCAGGATAGACCGAAATGTCATTCTAATTGATAATGGCTCAGGTCCAGTTTTTCATTTCCAGTCCATTTCTCTGATAGCTTGAAGGCGATGCTCCAGGGTGGAGTGGATCCAGGGCGTTGAAGCTAATCGATCGACGCCGCAGTCTGCCACGTCTCATTGTTTACTCCACCAAAGTCCATTTTTAGACGCGTCTGCCGCCACGTTCATATGTGCAAAGCCTGCGGGATGTTGGGTGATTTGGTCAAGACCGTACAACCTGGTCATTCAAACTACACAACCCGGTCGTCAAGACTATGAACAGGCTGGTCGTCAAGACCACACAACCTGGTCAAGACCGTATAACCTTGTCGTCAACACCACACAACTTGGTCAAGACCGTATAACCTTGTCGTCAACACCACACAACCTGGTCAAGACCATATAACCTGGTCGTCAAGACCACACAATCTGGCCAAGACCACACAACCTGGTCAAGACCATATAACCTGGTCGTCAAGACTAAACACAGGCTGGTCGTCAAAACCATACAGCCTTATCGTCAAGACTGCACAATCTGGTCAAGGCTACACACAGGTTGATCGTCAAGACTACACACAGGCTGGTCGTCAAGACCACACAGCCTGGTCGTCAAAACTACACACAATCTGGTCAAGACTACACAATCTGGTCAAGGCTACACACAGGTTGATCGTCAAGACTACACACAGGCTGGCCGTCAAGACCACACAGCCTGGTCGTCAAAACTACACACAGGTTGGTCAAGACCTCACAGCCTGGTCGTCAAGACCACACAGCCTGGTCGTCAAGACCACACAGCCTGGTCGTCAAGACCACACAGCCTGGTCGTCAAGACCACACAACCTGGTCGTCAAAACTACACTCAGGTTGGTCAAGACCTCACAGCCTGGTCGTCAAGACCTCACAGCCTGGTCGTCAAGACCTCACAGCCTGGTCGTCAAGACCACACAGCCTGGTTGCCAAAACCACACAACCTGACCGTAAAAACTACACACAGGCAGATCGTCAAGACCACACAGACTGGTCATCAAGACCACACAGCCTGGTCATCAAGTCCACACATCCTGGTCGTCAAGACCACAACCTGGCGCTTTTTTCGTGAATATAGTATCCATCTTTAGTAATGGAGCGGCTCAGTGTGTTCCTAGCTGCAGTCATTCTTGAGAAAGATATGCTTCAGTAAATGATGGTTTTCTGTGGGTGAAATTTTGAATTTGTGGTCACCGCAGGCGGGATGTTGGTGATCGTTAGTGCGTAGGTCACACTTAACTGCTCCATGAACCCCGTGCTACTCTAGAGCCTTTTAGGGCACAGAAGACAGAGAAAGAGCAAGCTAATGGAGAGGGGATAATTCCATAGGGGTCATACGGCGCCTGGGAGAATGGGAGGGATTAGGGTTCTACTCAAGGAAGGGAAGAGGGAAGTTCCAATTCCTTAGATCAAGAGCCCGTTACCAGCATCAATGCCGTGCCCTTACCATCCCCTTCATGAAGAGTCGGCGGTGATTACCTGCAAAACTGTGGGCAGTTTTCAGTAAATTCGGATTTGTTATTGGGAAGGAAAAGTTACGAGATATAGACACGATGAGATGATAATGCAGTTAATGGGTTAACGGTGCCACGGCATGGCCACCCAGCCATGGTGCCACACTCACGTGGGTGTCTTACCGATTTCAAGGCCATTGACCACACTCAGCGCAAACAAGTCAAGGTCTCTGAGTATACTCTGGAGTGCTCATATCAGCTGGCATCACAGATACTCAGCCGATCTACCGTGTTACTACACATATTTACACTAATTAGCTTTTACAGGAATTCATATTCTTGGTTAGTTAGGAATTATATTTATTGTAACACCGAGTGACAGTTAATCTTCAATGTAACTCATTCACTATGGCTTCTCTTGCAACCTACCCGAAAACCTTTAATGCAAAACAAGGGCCATACTACAAAACTAATAAATGCCAGTGATACACTCCTCAGTGAAATAGCCGTAGATTATCTTAAAAACGAAACTGGAGTTTCTTTTAAGGTGGCTGGAAACGTCATATGAAAAGGCTTTCATTCAGCATGAGCAAGAATTCTTGAGCTAAGATTCCACAGATCAAGAAATTCAGGAACCCCAAGACAGTTTCAGTGACAAATTTCTTTTGTAGATTTAGCAAAATTGTCACAAAGAAATACACCTCATGGCAGGGGAAATATTTGTGTCACACCTGGTTCATCTGTAGCCACACCCTTAACACCTTTACCATCTAGCCTAGACAGGACTCGCAGCAATGGTTTTAAGTTGGAAAAATTCAGATTCAGGAAGGATATAGGAATGTACTGGTTTGGTAATAGAGTTGTGGATGAGTGGAACAAACTCCCGAGTACAGTTATAGAGGCCAGAACGTTGTGTAGCTTTAAAAATAGGTTGGATAAATACATGAGTGGATGTGGGTGGGTGTGAGTTGGACCTGATAGCTTGTGCTACCAGGTCGGTTGCCGTGTTCCTCCCTTAAGTCAATGTGACCTGACCTGACTAGGTTGGGTGCATTGGCTTAAGCCGGTAGGAGACTTGGACCTGCCTCGCATGGGCCAGTAGGCCTTCTGCAGTGTTCCTTCGTTCTTATGTTCTTATGTTCAACTGTCTTAACTTATCTTCCAAGGAAATGATTTTGAAGAATTGTATAATTTCAAGCCATTAGAACACAGCAGACCCAGACATATGAGCACATTAAGGTGAATTACCTTAAATGTCTAGTAAATGATGAACCTTTAGTGATAGCAACATGGTCATGTCCTTATATCAGTGCATCAGTCTCCCTTAACTAGGAGGTACTTTTAACTTTATCTTATTAGCTGTATCAGTAGGCTAAAAACTTATTAGATATCATATCTTGAATATCTTAAAATAAAAGTTTCTTTTTTGGCAAACACGCTGATGGGGTTGTCAAGCTGACTTCCTGTCAGGAACAGGGTATGTATTGCTCACCCCTTCCTTGTACTATGGAAAGTACTGGGGGGAGAGACCGCAGTTTACCCTCCCCAGTGTTAGAGGTGGTTAATTCCTCCACATTATACATGTCAATAAATCCTGTCAGTTGTGTATTGCACTTTATAGAAATGAAGTTTGTCATTGTTATATAAATATTTTGTGTTTAAAGGTCATCTCTGTTTAAGGAAGGAAGTGGAGGGGGTGGTGCCATGATGCTGGTGAAAGGCTTTTGATCCAAGAAATTATAGCTACTTTCTCATTCCTTATAATAGCTCATTGTATGGGTTTAGCTCCTCTTATAAATATAATGATAATGACAGTCATGTTTAAATTGACACCAGTTACATTGCTTTTACCAATTATTTACATTCACTCCATTGCAAAATATTACTTTTACTACATTCTGATACAAGGGAGTATTAATTGCCTGTTTTAGCCTTAATATTTCTGTCACTTAATACATGCATCAGTTATAATTGTTTGAAACACTGAAAATGTAGCAAATAATGACAGGCAGTGTCAGTGTGGCACACTTCTTTCTACAAACCAAATATATATTGGACTCTTGATCTGAAGAATTGGAGTGACCCCTCCCCATCCTTATACCGAACCGATTACTTCTCATTCCCAAGCACTGTATGACTTACAGGTTTAGCACTTTCCCCATATATATGCCGTAATAACAATACTCAAGCAGCACTTGAGTTGGTCAGGTTAACTCTACAATATGTTAACACCAAAATGTGCAACCTTCTCAAGGTCAAGAGGTTGACCATGAAAAATCTGGGTAGGTTGGTTTTCAAAGTCCGTACCTGAATCAAGCACAGCTACACACAAACACAACTTTAGTTTTGTGTACTGTACTATATTAGATAATTACTGCTGTTTTCCTCAGGATTCTTGTTGAACATTTGAAAGATGTTATTTAACATTTATCCTCTAATTTTACAGATGTGATGACAGTGGATATGAGGGAAGCCCTTGCCACCAGCCTGTACTCATCTTCCCCTGTGACCCATATGTAACAGCCCATAATAGTACTACGCCCACGCTCACCAGCACTGTTACGAAGGGAGTTCTTACAGCACTCTATGACCAGAGTTTTCGTGTACCATCTTGAACTAGGCTACTAGAGAGCTATATTCATTAACTGTGAGAGACCTAGACTAAGATATCAATATGCATGACATATTTTGAAGTTTAAATGTACTGTAATCTCATACATAGAATGTAAATATTTAAACCAGATGTGGATAATGTAATTGAAAAATGTATGACCATTTTAAGTAAACATTTGAGAAAAATATTGTGTCTCAGAATGGAAGGAAAGCATTTGAGGTTCTGGCAGTGGATAGTATTTGGAGTGTTGTGGTTAGCCTATGGGTCAACCTACCTTCTGAGAAAGCCACTTGGAGTGATCAAAGCAGACTTAGAAAGTGGATTAAATGTAAGCTCAGCCATCCTTGGGTGGGTAGATACAGCACTCCTTTTGCCATATGCTGCAGTATCTCTTACTCTTGGGTCTGTGGGCGACCGTTTGGGGTCACGTGTAACTTTGGCAGGAGGTTTAATTCTTGCTGCTGCTGCTACTGCACCCATGACTGTGTGCCAGTCTCTTTCCTCATTACTAACATTATTGGCCTTCAGTGGAGCCAGTCAGGCATTGTGTTGGCCAGCTTGCTGTGCTTTACTATCTCGCTGGTTTTCCGATGCCTCTCGTAATTCAGTGTTTGGAATGTTTGGCACATGCTGTTTTGTTTTTGGGATGGCTGGTACAGGTCTGGCAGTGTACTTACAGGATGCTTATGGATGGCGCTCTGTATTCTTGCCTCCGGCAATGGTGGTAACCATCTTGGGTGTAATTGTCTTTGAGATAGGTCGAGACCCAAGTGAGCGAGGCTTAGTAGTACCAGGTCGTGCTGCTAACCAGCATGTACCACAAAACAAAACCAGTACTGAAAGTAAAATGTCCATGATGGCAGTGTGGAAAGTAACTCTTGTGCCAGAAGTGTCTATTGCCATGTTCTGTGTCAAGTTTGTACGCTATGCTCTTATGTTTTGGTTGCCCTTTTATCTGTTACGTTCTCTTAACTACTCCAAAATTAATGCTGGGCTAGCATCTACTGCTTTTGAATTAGGTGGTGTAGCAGGGAGTGCATTTGTTGGCGTAGTGGTAGACCATTGGATGAAGGGTCGTGCAATATTGACTAGTGCTTTGGCAGTTAGTGGATCAGCTCTTGCTCTGTTGGCCTTTATAGCCACAGCATCTTGGGGCCCAATTTTTCATGTGATTTTCTTGGCTCTTGTAGGTGCCTTGAATTGTGGCCCAGATATTCTACTTTGTGGCTCAGTGTCAGCAGATATTGGTGAGAGAGAGGGAGGAGCAGCATCTGCAGTGACAGGAGTAGTGAATGGCATGGGGTCTTTGGGTACAGTCTTAGAGGGCCCTCTGGTATCTTTAGTAGCAGCCTGGTTTGGATGGTCATCCATGATGCCCCTTATGATATTGCTGTCTTGTTTAGGAGCCATTGCTGCTTTCCGTGCTAATTCTATTCACTCTCGCATTGAAGGTCGGGTCAAACTCTCTTCCATGGATACAGTACCATGATGGTTATTCTCAGTCTGTCTTTTCTCAAAATTTAGAAAGCACTCAAGATCACATATTGTTTGACTTTATGTATGCTGTAATATATTATATAAATGTGTAAAATAATGAATTAGAATAAATCTGGTTGGTGTTATGAACAAGTACAGTGCAATGGTACACCTATATACTGTAATTTACAGTACATATGATGAGGTGACCAATACTGTGCAAAGTTATAATATTTATATCTGTAAAATAAGGTAATTGTGGGCAGATATTCACCATTGATGTTTTGTTTTTCAGTCAGTAATTGGATCATTATGTTGTTAAATGTTTAGTCATGAGAAGTAGTGTAGTTAAATATACATGTGGTTGTAACTGTTAAGATTCAAGCTGTTTACATGCTTAATATTAACACTATATTTGATCTGAAATCTAAGAACGATTGTAATAATACTTTGAGACTAAAGATGCTGTACTATTTACTAGCATATATCATGTTAAGGTAAAAACTCTATGCCAAAGATAATTATCAACCTGTGATTCTTTTTGTGTGTTGCTGATATAAATGAAATTGCAAAAAATATATTGTTTCCTAAAATGTTCATGTTCATCATGCTTTGTGTGACCCTGTTGGACATTAGCAGGCTTGTGTGAGTGCATTAAATAAGAGTGAAGGCAAGTGGTTTTATGACTGCTGTTGGAGTATGAACATGGTAATATTAATGAAGGGATTCAGGATTTGAATCATGGCAGTGGAAAGTATGGTGTTTGCACTCTGAAGGAAGGGTGGGGATGTCTAAGTTCAGAGGGCCGTCTGAACTGCGATATCAGAATGCTTTTAAAAAGGCAGTGATGAAATGAGTGAAGGTGAATAAGTTTCCTCTTTTTCGGGTCACTCTACATCAGTGTGGGATGGGTGATGTGTTCAATACATACATACATACACATACTATATTCGTAGCCATCTTGAAAGGCATAAATTGATTAATGAATCTCAGCATGGTTTTACAAAGGGGCATTCCTGCCTTACAAATTTACTAACTTTTTTCACCAAGGTATTTGAGGAGGTAGATCATAGTAATGAATACGATATTGTGTATATGGACTTCAGTAAGGCTTTTGATAGAGTTCCACATTAGAGGCTATAGAGGAAAACTAAGGCACACGGAATAGGAGAAGAATTTTTTTCCTGGGTAGAGGAGTGGTTGACAAATAGGTAGCAGAGAATATGCATCATTGGGGAGAAATCAGAGTGCGGGTGCATCACGAGTGGTGTTCCACAGGGGTCAGTGTTGGGCCCTTTATTGTTCACAATTCTTATGAACGAAGTTGATGAGGGAATAAATAGCGACAAGCAAATCTGCTGATGATGCCAAAATAGGTCACCTAATTGATTCAAATGAAGACATTAGAGCACTCCAAGAAGATTTAAATAGACTGATGAAGTGGTCGGAGAAATGGCAGATGCAGTTTAATATAGACAAATGCAAAGTTCTAAACACTGGACAAGAAAATAACCAGGCCACATATAAACTAAATAATGTAGATCTTAATATTACTGATTGGGAAAAGGATTTGGGAGTTCTGGCTAGCAGTAATCTAAAACCAAGACAACAGTGCATAAGTGTTCTTAATAAAATGAACAGAAGCCTTGGCGTCATATCAAGGAGCATAAATAATAGGAGTCCTCAGGTTATTCTTCAACTCTGTATATCTTTGGTTAGGCCTCATTTAGATTATGCTGTACAGTTTTGGTCAACATATCATAGAATGGATATAAATGCACTGGAAAACGTACAAAGGAGGATGACGAAGTTGATCCCATGTATCAGAAATCTTCCCTACGAGGATAGACTGAGGGCCCTGAATCTGCACTCTCTAGAAAGGCGTAGAATTAGGGGTGATAAGATTGAAGTGTATAAATGGAAAACAGGAATAAATAAAGAGAATATAGATAGCGTTCTAAAAATATCTAGCCACGACAGGACTCACAGCAGTGGTTTTTAAGTTGGAAAAGTTCAGATTCAGGAAGGATATAGGAAAGCACTGGTTTGGTAATAGAGTTGTAGATAAGTGGAACAAACTCCTGAGTAGATTAGATAAATACATGAGTGGAGCAAACTCCCAAGTAGGTTAGATAAATACATGAGTGGGTGTGCGTTGGACCTGACTAGCTTGTGCTAATAGGTCTGATGCCGTGCCCCTTCCTTACGTGGATGTGACCTGACCTACTAGGTGGGTCATTGGTTTAAGCCAGGAGGTGACTTGGACCTGCCTCGCTGCAGTGTTCCTTCTTTCTTATGTTCTTAAAGTCTCAACAGCATTTTCCGAGGCAGGACAACCGAAAAAGGAAAAAGTTACCATCATTCATTTAAATGCTGTCTTTCCAGAATAGTGCTGACATCACAATCAGATTACCCTCTGCAAAGTCTCCAGTCTTCCTTCTTGCCAAGGAAGGGCCACCCAAAGAAGATTTTTTTTTCTTTCTTTCTTTTTTAAGATAAGGATACCTAAGAGAAGTTTTCTGAATGTACTTTGGTTAACAGGATAGGACAACATGACTTCTGTAGACTTGTTACATATTTAAAAAAATTGCAATATTTATTCTACATAACCAGTATTATGTTTTGCAGAGATCGTCATTATAGATTTTAAATAAGAAATCATGTCTGAAAGCATTAATTTGGCCCAGAGCTTGTGTGAAATATGAAAAAAAATCATTTTAATCTCTCTTAAAAATAATATTTTTTTCTCCATATTAGTTTACATAACCTGCACTTAGGAGAGGGAAACATGACAGTGTTTTGGTCCAACTTGGACCACTGACAGGTTGCAATAGTTTAATAGTAATTTAATAGTTTAGTATATTTTATGACAAATATACACAAGAGAGGTATATTTTCAGCTGTTTCAGGATCAAAATGCACATTTTTAACATATAATATCAGGAGGGATACATTTCGACAAATAAAACTTGCTGTGATACTTTTCAGTACAGTGTAAGGTTGAGTTTCCTTGGATACTCAGACATAGGCAAAGAATGTTATTCCTCATTCTTTCCACAATAAATTAAAACACTCATACCAAGCTGTGTAATTCAGTGGTATATGAACTTGAAATTAATGATGCACACTTGTAATTTGCACAGATGTCAGACAATTTGTAAATGAATTCCAAATAAATCATATTCACACCAATATGTATAAACTTAAGTCAGTGATAAATGAATTTATTTACTGGAGTAAAATATAATATTGCTTACAGCAATAATTTTTGTATGAAATATGTACTTTTGTAAAACATGAATTTTTATTTAAATAAATAAATGAAATAAACTATGCATCAGGTGTAAAAGTATTCATTTTTCACTGAGTTTTTAAAGTATTTCTTTTTCCTTAATTACGTAATAGTATACTAGATAAGCTATGTTCAGTTTTTTAACCAGATTACCTCCCATTGCTCAGGTGCTGTATGATCCCTGTGTATTTAGCACATACCATAAATATAATAGTAACCATAAATTTTAGAGATATTTTCTAATAATCTGATCTATACAAAGGTTCATTGTGTGATACAAGTTTATAGGTTGGTCTGGTCTTGTACTCTGGCTCAGGTTTATATACTGCATCAGGTGTGTAAATCGGTGTCGACTTGTAAGCTGGCTTAGGTTTATACACTGGCCTGTGTTGTGGGTAAATTGGTGTCCCCTCGTATGTAATGGTCGGGTGGTAACCAGTCTCGTCCGAGTAATACTTTACAACCATCCGGCGACCGTCTGGAAGATCTACGAAGTATTGACCTTCAGTTCGGTAGCCTTCTCGCTTTTCTGTGTGACCAAAATTGGTTCCATGGTAGGTGTCGGCCACACCATACCCAAAATCATATTCTGTAGGCTGAAGGAAAGTAAAGCATGTTATGTGTACAGAAAGTGAAGTTCATGAAGAAATCAGTTCTTATGCATTTAATATTTTTTTTTAGCACATCGGCCGTTTCCCACCGAGGCAGGGTGACCCAAAAAGAAAGAAAGAAAGAAAGAAAAACTTTCATCATCATTCAACACTTTCACCATCATTCATACATAATCACTGTCTTTGCAGAGGCACTCGGATATGACAGTTTACATGTCCCTCCAAACTGCCAATATCCCAAACCCCTCCTTTAAAGTATAGGCATTGTACTTCCCATTTCCAGGACTAAAGTTCGGCTAACTGGTTTCCCTGAATTCCTTCACAAAATATTACCCTGCTCACACTCCAACACCTCGTCAGGTCCCAAAAACCATTTGTCTACATTCACTTCTATCTAACATGCTCACGCATGCTTTCTGGAAGTCCAAGCCCCTCATTCACAAAACCTCCTTTACTCCCTCCCTCCAACCTTTTTGAGGACAACCCCTACCCTACCCCCCTCCCCATACAGATTTATATGCTCTCCAAGTCATTATGTTCCATTCTCTCTAAATGATCAAACCACCTCAACAACTTCACCTCTTCAGCCCTCTGACTGATACTACTTTTAGTAACTCCACACCTAATTTCCACACTGTGAATTCTCTGCATAATATTTACACCACACATTGCCCTTAGACACGACATCTCCACTGCCTGCAGCCTCCTCCTCTCTGCAGCATTCACAACCCATGCTTCATACCCATATAAGAGTGTTGGTACCACTATACTCTCATATATTCCCTTCTTTGCTTCCATGGATAACATTTTTTGTCTCCATAGACACCTCAGTGCACCACTCACCTTCTTTCCTTATCACTTCTATGATTAACCTTGTCCTTCATAAACCCATCTGCTGACAAGTCTACTCCCAAATATCTGAACACATTCATTTCTACCATATTCCCTCCCTCCAATGTGATAACCAATTTTTCTTTTCCTAACTCGTTTGATACCCTCATCATCTTACTCTTCTCTATGTTCACTTCCAACTTTCTTACACACCCCTATATATGCAATATAATACTTGTATTTATCTGACTGCCATTTTCCATTAAGGTAGGCTAATCTAAAGAAGAAACATTACCATCACTCGCCCTTTAAGGGGCATGACTTAAGGCTGGTGAAGGGATCTTTATCCAAGAAATTGGAGCTACTCTCTTCTGTCTCATATCAAACCTGATCTTCCATTTCCAAGGAGCTCCATGGTCCTTACAGGTTTAGTGCTTCCCATGACTAACAAGAATAATAGTAGTATGGTTGACAATCATAAACTGTAACAACAATTCGGAACATCAGGATTGTCGTTCTGCCACATTCATGCAACGCTTTATGACCCTGGTGGGTTTAGCACTTAGTTTTGATTATAATAATTAGCCATATTCTGTAATATTTACATTGTTGAATAACCCATGTGGGTTTAGCAGCTTTTTCTGTAGGTGTAATCTATTGTAGAAAAAATCTAGGTAAATTTCTCTGTCAAGTTCCATTACAGGATGGGTTTTACACAAGGTAATGAAATCTGTCAGCCTGAGCAATGAGACTAGTGGAACAATGTAGATATTATCAAGCATTCTTTTAGAAGTTCCGGAACTTCAGTTGTTCTATTTCAGCAAAGCTGGGTTTAGTGCTTAAATTGATACTGATATTATTATTATTATTATATACAGTAGAGCTGGAGTTGCAGTTATTTGTACATTACAGTTTCTCAGAGTGGTCTGTCCCCCATACAGGAAAAGAAGCCTAAAAATGGGTGTAAACCTGTACCAGGGGATATATAGTGCATATCCACCAAAGGGGTTTATCTCCCAGTGTATATTCAACAGAGGTTTATCAATTAACAAGCGCATAATAATAATAGAAATAATTTTAGTAATAATGATTGCAACTTACACCATCGTCGTGTGTAGGTGAGGGCTTGTAGGCAGACTCGACCTTGTACACGGTCTGGTAGAATGGCTCAGGTTTGTAGACGTAGGATTTAGGGCTGGATGTGTAGGGTGCGGTGTATGTAGGCTTGCTTGTGTAGGTTGGTTTGGGTGTATAGGCTGGGGTGTAAGTGGGTTTGGGTGCATAGGTGGTCGGAATGTAGGGTGGTTTGGGTACATAGGGGGTCGGAGTGTAGGTGGGTTTGGATACGTAGGGAGTCGGAGTGTAGGTGAGTTTGGGTGTATATGCTGGAGAGTAAATGGCTTTGGGAGTGTAGGTGGCTTTGGGAGTGAAGGTGGGTTTGAGCATATAGGAAGGAGTGAAGGTGGGTTTGGGCATATAGGAAGGAGTGAAGGTGGGTTTGAGCATATAGGAAGGAGTGAAGGTGGGTTTGAGCATATAGGAAGGAGTGAAGGTGGGTTTGGGCATATAATTTCGGGCGTGGGCAGGCGTACTATAGGTGAGTGGGTATGAAGAAGTGTCCATGAAGGTGTTCTTCGGTATGTAGATTGGAGTGACATCGTAGTGGGGGTCGTAGGTGTAGTGGAAAGGAATACCAGTAGGTTTTCGCAAACCCTCGTCCGCTATGCCCACACTCTCACCCACCACGCCCACGCCCACCAACAGCAAGCTCAGCACCTACAGGAAAACAGACAAAACATTAAAAACCTAATTTTCTCACCACAAAAGTAAATAATTTAAGCCAGAATCCTGTTTTAGAATTGTTTCGTATTTTTAATAAATTAAGAGTGAAAAGAACTGTATAACAACAAATGAAGCACTAATACATATAGTTACCTATGCAAATATGGCCAAATTCTGAATCAGCACAAATTCCTTTTCTCTTAGATGAAACATACCTGCAGCGCTGCATGGCCCTTAAGGGTTTAGCGCATACATATGCATACATCGTTAAATAAGCCAACGAAGGCCTCGGTTAAATGATCAAAAGCTCCAGCTGCGGGTCATCATGTGACTAAGACCCGCGTCAGGAAACACTTGTCCTGTTTCCTGACCAACCTTGATCTAGGGAATTGGATCTGTGTTCCAGTTCCCCGAATTAAGCCTGAATACCTTCCACATCCCTTCCCCCCCCCCCCCACAGGCGCTGTATAATCCTACGGTCTTAGCGCTTCCCCCTTGATTATAATAAAATTTCTGACAAACCTAATACCTACGTATTTGTGGTTGCAGGGGTCGAGTCACAGCTCCTGGCTGTATACCTCTGCATAAACTTTTTTCTTTAAGACCTATTTTAGCAGCGCTGTATGACCTTCGTGGGTTTATCGCTTAGTTTTGATAAAACAACAATAATAGTACCTTGGCTGGTGGTGTACAGGCGAAAAGTGTTCTTAATGACTCGTGCAATCGATAGGCTTCAAACCTAATTCTCCCCTCAAGGGAGGCTCCTTGATGCTGGTGAGGGGCTCTCGATCTAGGGAATTGGATCTGTGCTCCAGTTCCCTGAATTAAGCCTGAATACCTTCCATCCCCCCCCCCCACAGGCGCAGTATAATCCTGCGGGTTTAGCGGTTCCCCATGATTATAATAATAATTCAGACCTAATTATGGGCTGTCAACCGGAAGATGAGATTGCGTAGTACCTGGTCCAGATTGTGAGAGATAATTACCAATTAAAGATAATTGATTCGCCAGAATTACGTTATTGTAATGAGACACGCAACCTCTAAAACCACGCTACCTCTCTAGAACCACGCTACCTCTCTAGAACCACGCTGCCTCTCTAGAACCACGCTACTTCTCTACAACCACGCTACCTCTCTACAACCACGCTACCTCTCTACAACCACGCTACCTCTCTACAACCACGCTGCCTCTCTACAACCACGCTACTTCTCTACAACCACGCTACCTCTCTAAAACCACGCTACCTCTCTACAACCACGCTACCTCTCTACAACCACGCTGCCTCTCTACAACCACGCTACTTCTCTACAACCACGCTACCTCTCTAAAACCACGCTACCTCTCTACAACCACGCTACCTCTCTACAACCACACTGCCTTTCTACAACCACGCTACTTCTCTACAACCACGCTACCTCTCTACAACCACGCTGCATCTCTAGAACCACGCTACCTCTCTACAGCCACGCTACCTCTCTACAACCACGCTACCTCTAGAACCACGCTACCTCTAGAACTACGTTGCCTCTCTAGAACCACGCTGCCTCTCTAGAACCACGCTACCTCTCTAGAACCACGTTGCCTCTCTAGAACCACGCTGCCTCTAGAACCACGCTACCTCTCTAGAGCCACGCTGCCTCTACAGAACCACGCTGCCTCTCTAAAACCACGCTACCTCTCTAGAACCACGCTGCCTTTATAGAACCACGCTGCCTCTCTAATCCACGCTACCTCTCTAGAAGTGCGCTGCATCTCTAGAACCACGCTGCCTCTCTAAAACCACGCTGCCTCTCTAGAACCACGCTACCTCTCTAGAACCACGCATAAACACTCTAGAACCACGAGTAAACACTCTAGAACCACGCTGCCTCTCTAGAACCACGCCTAACACTAGAACCACGCTGCCTCTAGAACCACGCCTAACACTAGAACAACACTGCCTCCCTAGAACCACGCTACCTCTCTAGAACTGCGCGGCCTCTCTAGAACCACGCTGCCTCTCTAGAATCACGCTACCTCTCTAGAACCACGCTACCTCTCTAGAACCACGCTACCTCTCTAGAACCACGTTACCTCTCTAGAACCACGCTGCATCTCTAGAACCACGCTACCTCTCTAGAACTACGCATAAACACTCTAGAACCACGCTGCCTCTCTAGAACCACACTGCCTCCCTAGAACCACGCTACCTCTCTAGAACTACGCATAAACACTCTAGAACCACGCTGCCTCTCTAGAACCACTCTGCCTCTCAAGAACCACGCTACCTCTCTAGAACCACGCTACCTCTCTAGAACCACGCTACATCTAGAACCACGCTGCCTCTCTAGAACTAGGCTACCTCTCTAAAACCACTTTGACTCTCTAGAACCATGCTGTCTCTTTAGAACCACGTTGCCTCTCTAAAACCACGCTACCTCTCTAGAACCACGCTGCCTCCCTAGAACCAAGCTGCCTCTCTAGAACCAAGCTGCCTCCCTAGAACCACGCTGCTTCCTTATAACCACGCTACCTGTCTAGAACCACGCTGCCTCCCTAGAACCACGCTACCTCTCTAGAACCATGCTGCCTCCCTAGAACCACGCTGTTTCCCTATAACCACGCTACTTCTCTAGAACCACGCTGCCTCTCTAGAACCACGCTGCCTCTCTAGAACCATGCTACCTCTCTAGAACCACGCTGCCTTTCTAGAACCACGTTGCCTCTCTAGAACCACGCTGCTTCTCTTTAATCACGCTACCTCTCTAGAACCACGCGTAAACGCCCTAGAACCACGCTGCCTCTCTAGAAACATGCAGCCTCCCTAGAACCACGCTGCCTCCCTAGAACCACGCTACCTCTCTAGAACTGCGCGGCTTCTCTAGAACCACGCTGCCTCTCTAGAACCACGTTGCCTCTCTAGAACCACGCTACTCTCTAGAACCACGCTGCCTCTCTAAAATCGCGTCTACCACTTTTGAACCACACTGCCTCTCTAGAACACGCCTAACAATCTAGAACCACGCTACCTCTCTAGAGCCACGCTGCCTCTCTAAAACCTCGCCTGACACTCTAGAACCACACTGCCTCTCTGGAGCCTCGCCTAACACTCCAGAACCACGCTACCTCTAGAACCACGTCTAACACTCTAGAATCACACTTCCTCTTTAGAACCACGCTTAGCACTCTAGAACCAAGCTACCTTCCTAGAACCAAGCTACCTCTCTAGAACCACGCCTAACACTAGAACCACGCTAACACTCTAGAACAATGCTACCTCTCTAGAACCACGCCTAACACTCTAGAACCATGCCAACACACTAGAACCACACATAATACTCAAGAACCACGTTAACACTAGAACCACTCTTCACACTTTAGAATCACTCTAACACTCTAGAACCACGGTAACACTAGAATAACGTCTAACAATCTAGAACCACGCTAACACTCTAGAACCATGCCCAAAACTCTAGAACCACGCCTAACACTCGAAAACCATGCTTGACACTCTAGAACCATGCCAACCCACTAGAACCACGCCTAATTCTCAAGATTCACGCTAGCACTAGAACCACGCTTAACACTTTTGGATCTTGCTAACTCTCCGAAACCAAGCCTAACGATCTAGAACTATGCAAACACTAGAACCATGCTTAATACTCTAGAACCACGCAAACACTCTAGAATCATGCCCAACACATTAGAATCACGCCTAATACTCAAAAACAACTCAAACACTTGAACCACGCCTAACACTCTAGAACCAGGCAAGCACTCTAGAACCACACAAACACTCTAGATCCATGCTTAACGCTAGAACCACGCTAACACTCTAGAATTACGCCCCGCATCTTCAAAACAACTCCTCACACCTCGAAGTACATCCTACTAGTCGAGAACCACGCCCCGACATCTCTAGAAGTACCTGCCTATGCCTCTAGAACCACGACCCCACACCAATAGAAGCACGAGCCCACACCTTAAGAACCACGATCCCACACCTTAAGAACCACGACCCCACACCTATAGAACCACGACTCCACACCTAAAGAACCACGATTTCACATCTATAGAAGCACGACTCCATACCTATAGAAGCACGACTCCATACCTATAGAAGCACGACCCCACACCTATAGAACCACTACCCCACACCTATAGAACCACGAGCCCACACCTACAGAACCACGACCCCACACCTATAGAACCACGAGCACATACTTATGGAACTACGACCCGACACCTATAGAACCATGACTCCACACATATAGAACCACGACCCCACATTTATGGAACTACGACCCAACACATAGAACTACGACCCCACACCTAAAGAACCACGACCCGACACCTATAGAAAAACGACCCCACACTTATAAAACTGCGACCCCACACTTATAGAGCCACGACCCCACACCTATAGAACCACGACCGCACACTTATAGAACTACGACCCCATTAAAAAACGTTAGCTTCGAGCATCAGTTAAAAAAAATGACGTTGTGAACAACGTTGAAAGACTGATAGGTTTAAGAGGAAGACAAGTTAGTGATGGTTAAGACAAGGTGGTGATGGGGAAGACAAGGTGGTGATGGGGAAGACAAGGTGGTGATGGGGAAGACAAGGTGGTGATGGTTAAGACAAGGTGGTGATGGTTAAGACAAGGTGGTGATGGGGAAGACAAGGTGGTGATGGGGAAGACAAGGTGGTGATGGGGAAGACAAGGTAGTGATGGGGAAGACAAGGTGGTGATGGTTAAGACAAGGTGGTGATGGGGAAGACAAGGTGGTGATGGGGAAGACAAGGTAGTGATGGGGAAGACAAGGTGGTGATGGTTAAGACAAGGTGGTGATGGTTAAGACAAGGTGGTGATGGGGTAGACAAGGTGGTGATGGGGTAGACAGGTGGTGATGGGGAAAACAAGGTGATGATGGGGAAGACAAGGTAATGATGGGGAAGACAATGTGATGATGAAGACAAGGTGGTGATGGGGAAAACAAGGTGATGAT